TGAAATAGACATTCAAGAAGTGTTCTTTTCCAGTGCCTGTCCAAAACAGTCAGTTGGGTCAGTTATGATTCCATCTTCATGACCTCATACTGGCTCCTGGTGCTCATTCCTTCTTTGTCCAGACTTTATACAGGGATGATGCTCTTCATAATCTATCCTGAAATCCTAAAGATATATGGAATTCACTTAGTCTTTTATTGGAAGAATTTGTATTTTCCTTTGTGTGTTCGTTAGATCACAATAGTCACCTCATCAGTTTTATTTATAAAAGTTACGTAATTATTAACCCTCAGGTTGGAGCCTCTGTTTTGCATATGGGGCAGCATTTTTTCATGCTTGGAGAATAAAAAGCTATCAACTGTAATTCCACCATATTGCACACAAATCTTCAGTTGTCCTTGATTTTTTTGTTCCACTACTAATTTAATGACTATATCATGGCAATATACACGGGAATTTCTCTTGTCTTGCTGTATCTCTAACTTCCTCCTCTTTGTTTTCGTAGTTGTATTTGTGGTAAGGCTTACCCAAATATGACAGCTTTAACATTACTAGAAGGAACACTCTTCTGTGACCTCTTGAAAATACCCTTCTAATTTGGAGATAACCCATTTATTCTAGTTTAATACTCTAGCAAAACCATGACCTGTTGTTTCAAATTTAAAAACTAACACTAAAATAGTTATTGAAAGTTTTATATATGAAATATTTTATATCTATTATATTAAAACAACTTGAAACAGAAGTTTTCTATTTCAGAAGGAAAGGTTTCCTGTGTCAAACATTTCTCATCCAGTGATTCAGTATTCCATATGTAATAGACTTCTTGGAAGAACTGGATTCTGATAGTGGGAAGACTGTTGGTAATAATTGGAATAAACGTGAAGGAACACTTATGCCCCCTAGAGGACTGGGGGAATGGATATGGTCTAGTTGCAGCTACTCCTTTTTTTTTTTTTTTTTTTGATCAAAATCCAAAGGCTAAAAGGTTATCAAGTGAAAAAACTTTTGTACTTTAATGAGATTTCATCCAACTGTGATGCCCATGACCATAAACAGAGAGATATTTATTTTCTTCTTTGGTGGAATTCAGTAAAATTAAACAGATGCTCAGGAAAGCAAACTCTTAACACACATGTAGATTCTCTGTATTTATTCCTAATAGTTCTAAGGATACAGTTTCTTATCTCCTCTTCTTTGTTTTACTCGCCAGCTTCTTAGGCCTAATTTTATTCCTCTCTGCCTCTAAGTTTTTCCTTTCCATCTTCCCTCCTTACTTACACCTTCCAGTCCATCTGGGAACCTTTTGTGACCCCAGAACAGAAAAAGAGACCCCTGGTCACCATATTCTAAACTACCTCATCTCTTCTTTCAGTTTAAGGACATATTTCTTGAGTTAAATTTTTTCGTTTAACTTTTCCAAAGCCAGGGTCTAAAATATCTTTGCTTGATATTCTGTTTAAATGGGGGACACATTGTCAGTAATTCTTATTTCACTTGGGAGAATCTAGTGCAGCTAATCGGGAGTGATGCGGGGAAGTGGAAGGAAAAAGAGGTTTTGGTTCAACATCTGCATTTTTTCTTTTAGACATGTGCTAGTTCTCACTGCAACATAATAGAATGGCTGTTATCCCTTATTTTCTGTTTTTATGCTACATAATTATCATCCACTTGGTATTATGTGACTGAGTCATTCTAAGTAACAACCAGTGTTCATAGTATTAGGTAATGAGGATGTTCTTGTTAATCATCTGAGTTCCCTCTTTTACCTTTGATCTCTACTGACATAACTTCCATTCAGACTTGAAAGTATATAAATTTTTTTTGCAAGTTCTTATGTTATAGTCTCTGGTCTTTGAGCTGGATTGCAAATATCAGAATTAAATTAACCAACAGATTCCCTTGCAAGAATGCCAGTATTTCCTTCCTGAGTAACTGTATCTCTTTGTTTTAAAGAGATCAGATCTGAATCTCAGTAATTTATAAACTTACAAAAATCAAAACTCCTATATGTCAACCCACTCCAGTATTCTTGCCTGGAGAATCCAACGCTCTACAGCCCATGGGGTCGCAAAGAGCTGATCATGACTGAAGCAATTTATAGCACAGCACTAAGCCTGAACCTCCACTGTGGGAAGGCCCGCCTCCCTCTCCGCGTTTCTCTCCGCACGCATCTTCGCATCTTCATGTCTCTGTGGGGAAAGGAGGTATTCCTGCCAGTTGGGTATAATATCGACCGAAGAGGGTGGGAGAGAGGGACAGTGTGCTTGGCACTTTGCTTTATCCTCCAGAATCTGCACGACCCAGGAGGCAAATGTCATAGCTGCCATTTTATAGATGAGGAAACTTAGGTTCAAAATTGTGAAGGAATGAATTTTGCTCTGAAATTTTGATCCTAGGTGACTGGACAAACTGTGGTGTCATAAAAGAAATTAGGAAATTCAGAGGTGCTAGTTTGGGGGTTCTTTTTTATCTCTTTTTGTTTTTTTAAATGGTTTGACGTTGGTTGAGTTTGAGATAAAATTAGCCATGGCTAAAGATATGGATTTGAGAATCTTACACATGGCAGGGAAAGTTGATACCGTAGCATAAATGAGATTTTAGAAGTGTGTAGAGTCGAGCTGTCCAATATAGTAGCCACAAGCCACTAGTGAATACTAAGTTCTTAAAAGGGGACTAGTCTGAATTGAGTTGTACCATGAGTGTAAAACATACACTGGGTTTCAAAGACTTAGTCTCCCCCCAAAGAATGTAAACTAGTTCATTAATAATTTTTATATTGATTACTTATTGAAATGGTAACTTCTGGATATAGTAAGTCCTCTACATATGAACCTTCAAGTTGCAAACTTTCAAAGATGCGAACATGTGTTCACAACATGTCTGGTGCACATTGTTACATGCGTGCATCCTCTACAAGTTGTGCCTTTGTGTACTTTATAGAGTACAATAGTACAATATCTTTATTTCAAGCCCAGGATGTCAGAAGTAGGTATAAAAGCAATGGTGATGTAGTTGGTATTGCTAAGAAGCACCAGCTCTTTACTGTACTACTATACTTTTCAAGGTACTGTACTGTAAGATTAGAAATGTTTTCTTTATTATGTATTATTTGTGTGAAAATCACTATAAACCTATTACAACACATCCAATTTTATTTCAGTGCCGTATGGCCGATTGTCTTAGTTGGGTACCTCGGCTAACTTTCTTGGATATATGAATTCACTCTTGGAATGGAATTTGTTCATCTGTAGGGGACTTACTGTATATTGGGTTAAATAAGTACATAATTACAATGAATTTTCCGTTTCTTTTTTCTTTTTGATGTGGCTACTAGCAAACTTTAAGTTACATATGAAGCTTATGTTATATTCCTATCAGAATAGCACTAACAGAGAAAGGGAAAATAAAATGTCTAAAACAGAACCTTTGAGGATGTAATGTTTTTCAGAGTTTAAGTTTTTAAGTTAACATACAATATATGCGAATAGATTTTTCAAATAAGCCTACAGAGGAGAGTATAAAATGAAAAGAATTTTTCCTGCCGTCATTAATACCACTTTGTATCATATAGACACTATGTGGTTTCTTAATTTCTCTTCCAGGAATGTATGTACATGTAAACACATATTTAACACAGGTGGGGTACTGCTCTGTACCTTGCTTTTTTCAGTGTCTGAGGGTTTTCGTTAAAGCACAGAGAGCTGTGCTCCAGCTGACATTTCCCCAGCCTGGTGCTGGGAGGACTGTGGTTCTTGCCTCCCAGACTCTGTCACCTTCCAGAACCTTTCCCGTGCTCCTTCCCCTCGGATGCTCCTCCTCCCTTGTCTGTGTGACCTGTGTCATTGGGGTATTATTCCATGTGGCTTCTGAGATGGCCTACTGAATCCTCCCAAATCTACCAAAGTGAACCCTTGACACTAGGCACTTTCAAAAGGGCACAGCAGACAGTGCAACTGAGATGTCGTTGAGGGTAGATGCTGCTTCTAACTCATTTTTTTATCTGCCACATGGCACACACTGGGTGCTTGGTCAGCGTTTGTGGAATTAATAAATAAATGGGCAAATGAATAAAGCCCGTCTTTATAAGTACTCTAGGAAACAAAGTATTAAAGTGAAGATTTAAGACATGCATCTTACAACAAACAGGCATTGATACACTATACTCAGAAAAGTAAGGTCTTAAATGTGTATGGTATATGTTTCATAGAAATCTAATGCTTTTATCCCATTTTAAAATACTGCAAAGACTGGAACCATTTAAGCATCGTGAGTTACCCCATAATAATGATAGACTTTTGAAGTAATTATAGTGAATGAATATTTGTAGGTACTTGTTAGGCACCAGGAAGTGTGCCAGGCTCTGAGCACACACAGTGCTGGATGAAACAGGCATGATCCCACCTGTGTGGAGCTCTGGTTCATTGGCAGACGCCTGGCCATTTTGATATTAATTATGATATTTAATAAAGTGACTGCTTCCTTTTAAAGACTGCTTAATATGTACTGTGCTCTAAATGCTTTACTTACTTTATTTTACTTTATGCATATTCCGGAAGTAGCAGTGGAAGTGATTAAGGTTACTTTTTGACATTTATAATATTTAAGAATCTAAAACTTAAGGAAAAAAATTAATTTGTGCTATAGCAAATGCTCTAGCACAATGGACACAAAGCAAGTGACAAGCATGACACGGTCTTCCCACTCCTAATCCAGGGCTCTCTTGCTCCACCAAACTGCCTCCTTACAGAGGAATTGTGACTCTGGTTAAGGGGATTCTAGAACATTTTTGGTGGTGAGTCCTTAAAAAAATGATTTCATATAAATATCAGTAACAAATAATGGATGTGAAAAAGACAATTTTCCAAGACAGATACTTGCTGTGGCCCAGGAGTAGCTATGCCCCTGTTTGAACAGCCAAGTCAGCGTTTGCTGACACCCACATCTATCTCCATATTCTTCAGCCCTTTCACGCTCTTTCCTGCACTTGTTTCTAACAGACAAAAATCGGATCAGGAAAGCTGATGGGGCCCAAAGGAGTGTCTGTGGACCGCAACGGGCACATCATCGTGGTGGATAACAAGGCGTGCTGCGTGTTTATCTTCCAGCCAAATGGAAAAATAGTCACCAGGTTTGGTAGCCGAGGAAATGGGGACAGGCAGTTTGCAGGTACACTCGATGGTAATATGTAAACCCCCTTTTTTATGCTTCTTGTGCCCACACTTGCATGATGTTGGAGCATGTTGAAGACGCCTCATCCCCAGTGTGTTTGCCAGTTTTGGGAAAGACTCTGGGGATGGAATTTAAGCGGAAGCATGGTCAGATGCTTCTCAGTGGCTTTCCCCATAAGTGCCACTGCAGCCGTGCGTGGCTCTTACTGGTGGCAACTAGTGGCACTTTTACTAGTGGCAACTCGGAAGTCTAACCTTCGAATATGAACGTTGAATAAAATAGTTTTTAAATGAAAATGTTTGAGGAACCATGGGGAGCCTCCTGTTTGCACCTCACTGTTGCTTTATTTAAAAGTTTCTGAATGAGAATATTTTTCACCTGTCTAAGTGGTTATACAGGAGCAGGAGTTTAGAATATTTGCTCAGCACAGGAAAGGCGATTTCTTTTACTTTTCTCTTTGATGTGCCCCTTTGCAGTCACAGGCTTACTTCATTTTTTTTTTACATCTGCAAGAAGAGGCTGGGAACAGTTGATTCCTTTCTTTTGAGAAGGATGCTTTTTGCGTTTCACATTAATTTGCATAGCCTTTCTTTATGCTTTGTCTCCAGTTCTGCCAAATTCTGAATGTCGCCCAAAATTATAAAGTGTGGGTTTCTGCCCTACTTGAAAAAAAATTATTACACGCTGGATATTTTGCCCTCGGTGCTCCCAAGAGTTACCATGTCTGTCTTCTGTGGGAGATGAGGGCCCTGTGTGACTGTCAGGGAAGCTGGCCGAGGTGACTTTCAGGTGGTGGTGTGGAGAATGAATTCTGATGCTTACTGCTCATTCCACTCCATGAAGGCTGCTGGAACTCTCAGCTTGATTTGGGGAAGGCAGAGTAGACAGCAACAAGTGTAGAATGCTATCAAATCTGTGTTATCTGGAGCCAGAGGTCTGGCTCAGTGACCTTTTAAGAACCAAGTCTATAGTTCTTTGTTTTTTCTTAAATAACTAAGTTAATACATGAAGTTCGGTAACTAGTGTTGTTGTAATCATTTTCGTTGTTATGGTTATCACATGTTTTTTCTTATTTTTATTTCAGGTCCCCATTTCGCAGCTGTAAATAGCAATAATGAGATTATTGTTACAGATTTCCATAATCATTCTGTCAAGGTACCATAAGCACATCAATTGTTGTTAACTTTTAACTGCTTTAATACAGGAATCAGTCTGGGAGAAAACACGAGACTCGCGTATACACACAGGACCTAGGTGATGTAACCTAAAACATGCAGGTTTTAATTTGGACACACAGACTTTGGAGAGTCAGAAAAGTGAACAAAATATTGTGGCAATAAGTTTCTTAATTTGAAACTAGTGTAAATGGAAATGACTTGAAAATTAAATTTGAAAAAGCAATTGCTTGAACTTAGAGAGGCAGAACTTTCTGAAGCTTAATGTTTTGTGGCTATTTGATCAATTAAAACAGATGACTTTTTTCAGTTTTCTGCACCTAGGACCTTACAAACAAAAATAGATGTTAGAACTCTGCTGCTGCAACAGATTTGGGGAGGGAAATAACCTTGGTATCCGCTCATACAATGCCCTTCATATATCTTTCCACACACTTGGTGTTCCCCACCCCTTCCCCAAATACTATAGTACATCTTTCTTACTAGGTAGAGCGGGGAGAAAGATTTGACCTCTATTATGAGCAAATCAGGAGAAAATAGAGTGGTTCAAAACCAGTGTCTCACTTACTGGAACGAGAAAACGCTTGCTAACATTCTAGACCAAGCTTCTCCGAGCGTAACGTGTGCTCCACTGGAAGGGGATGTCAGGTGACCTGGGCAGTGCCCTGGCAGACACTTTTCTTTTAAGAGTTATTCATCTGTTTTTAGGGCTACCTTCTGTTTTCATCAAGTGATACAGGTTTGCACTGATCCTAGAAGTGATATTAAGTTCTCCTTGTAAGTAAGCTCACTTAAATGTTTTAAAGTCAGGCATTTCAGATGTGAGGGAAGGTAAGAAGATAGCATAGGGGAGGCCAGTGAGTAAAGTTTGTGCTTGGAGACAACCGTTGAACAATTAAATTTAAACACCAGTCTGCCAGTGTGGATGACTGGAAGAGCTAAATAGGGATAGAATTCTGACACTCAAAAGTACGCTTTTCACTGCTGCTTTTCCCCAGTTCTTCCTGGAAGAAGGTGTCTTTAAGCTGGGTAAATAAATGGAAAGGCCTCGAGCTTGGAGATGGGTGCCAAGTCCCCGTGCAGAGAGGGGAGCACAGTGGGCCGTGGTGCTGGGGCAGGAGGAGGGGAAAGGATGCCCACCGTGGCTGCTTCCTTGAAAGGCCGCTTCCCACTTGGGGTCTCTCCAGAGCTGCTGCCTTAGGCAGGGCTCCGTCCGCCCCTCCACACACTCACACCCGCCCAGGCTTGCTAAGAGAAGAGGACAGTGGGGAGGTCTTTCCAGGATGGGGAGGGCACACAGCCGAGCGGCAGCGGAGCCTCGGCCTGTGGCCGCTGTCCCAGGGCTGTCGCGGTCCTGTGGGTGAGCAAAGCCAGAAAGGACCAGTGGGCCGTCCTGACACTCCCTCCCCTCCACTCTCTGCAGAGCGGTCCTTCGTTTAACCGTTATGAATCCAACAAGGAAACCCGTACAGGTCTTAGTGGTGCCAGGGCCGGCGAGGCCTGGCCCGGGTGCCACCACCCCCAGCAGACGGTGACGGTGACCAGGCTGCCCTTGCCCCCTGAGCACGGCTGGGGCTCAGAGCCCTTCCTCCCCCTGCTCAAGGCAACCGCGGAGCCCCTGGCCTGGGGGTGTGGGAGGGTTCCTATTTACCAGTCCTGACTGACTCTGTAGGAGGAAAGAAAACATATGGAAGTAGCCAAAATGCAAGGCAGAGAGCAACAAATGCCTTTTATAAGAATGGGTACATATAGGGACTCCCCTGGTGGTCAGTGGCTCCCACTCCAGTCCTCTTGCCTGGAAAATCCCATGGACGGAGGAGCCTGGTGGGCTGCAGTCCATGGGGTCGCTATGAGTCGGACACGACTGAGCAACTTCACTTTCACATTTCACTTTCATGCACTGGGGAAGGAAATGGCAACCCACTCCAGTGTTCTTGCCTGGAGAATCCCAGGGACGGGGGAGCCCGGTGTGCTGCCATCTATGGGGTTGCACAGAGTCGGCCGCAACTGAAGCAATTTAGCAGCAGCAGCTGATGGTCCAGTGGTTAAGACTCCGTTTCCAGCGCAGGGGGCATGAGTTCAATCCCTGTTCGGGATTGAACGGCCAAAAAAGATGCACGGCCAAAAAAACAAAAAGAATAGATACACATAAAGTTCTCTAAATATACAGAAAAAAAGAGAAGATTTCCATAATTAAGACTATCAGGGAAGACTTCCAAGTGGTATTGAGGTGAACAGAATTTTGAAATCAGAAAAGAACTATCAAAGTTATAAAAACTTACAGTAACAATTTATCAAAAAAGAAAACTATAAAAATGATTTCAGCTCATACTTCTGCCTCTTAGTATGCTTTCATCTGAATAAGTTATAAATAATTAATAACATTTTAGGTAGGAAACATAGAAAATATGAGAAATTTAAAGTCATTAAGATTGTGAAAACATTTCAGGTTTTCAGTACTGTTGAGGTAGTTGAGTTATTTAAACTCAACTTTTCTCTCATTTAGAGGGAAAAAACCCAGTCATTTTGATATTCCTCTCCTCTTTGACAGTTTTTGCCATGTAGCTTTTATGGAATAGTTGGGCTTTTTTTCTTTATATAACATGGGCAGTTAACAAGAATTCTTCATTCTTCATTCAACAAGAATTCTTCAAGAATTTTTCATTCAACAGAGTCACTTCTCTGTTTATAAACATAAAAACCTGAACTATATAGGTCAGGGGTAACAAGTTCTTTAGCTGCCTTCACTATATACATTTTCCTTGTTGCAAAAGAAGATTAAATTAGCCTTCTTCATAATTTCAGAATGGAGCAGAAGAGTGTAAGCTGCTTGATTTATGTCAAGGAAAACATACTGACTCAGAGAGATAAGCAAACAAAATGATTATTTGTATAGCTTTTTTTTTTTTTTTTCATTTTTATTTTGTATTGGAGTGTAGGACCCAATGGTAAAGAATCCCCCTGCCTAGCCAAAGACACAGGTTTGATCCCTGGGTCAGGGAGATCCCCTGAAAAAAGGAAATCCCATTCCAATAATCTTGCCTGGGAAATCCCACAGACAGGAGCCCGGTGGGCTGCAGTCCATGGGGTCACAAAGAGTCGGACATGACTTAGCGGCTAAGCCACAACAACATTGTGATTTACAGCATTGTGAGTGTCAGCTGTATAGCAGAGTTATTCGGTTATATATATGCATACATCTTTATACATACACGTACATCTTTTCTTTTTCAGATTCTTCTCCCATTCAGTTTATTACAGAATACTGAGTAACATTCCCTGTGCTGTACATCAGATCCTTGTTGATTATCTCTTTTATATATAGTAGTAGAATGTACGTGTTAATCCCAAAAATATGTGAAGAAGGTAAAAAGAATCAGAAAAGGTTTTAAAGACACGACATCTTAGTAAAAGTTGATTCCTGTCTCTGTCCTTTCAAAGAACCGCAGAGGTAGCTTACTTACTTTGGCAAGCATGTAATTAATTCAGAAAGCGGTCATGACTTTTTTATTTTACCTTAAAGAAAGTTTAGGCTTTAGAGTTGGAACCGTCTCACTTCCCCATCATAAGAAACTAAAAGAAATAGCATCATCTTACTCTTTCATGATCACAGAGATGGCAGTAAGAGAGGCTCTAAAGGTTCTGAAAGCACCTTCAGATTAGATCTGTGCTCAGGCTTAGTGACCTGTCTCAGGTCCTCGTTTTAGAAACCTCACTCTCACTGCTCGGGCCTGGTGCACTGGGAAGACCCAGAGGGATCGGGTGGAGAGGGAGGTGGGAGGGGGGATTGGGATGGGGAATACATGTAAATCCATGGCTGATTCATGTCAGTGTATGACAAAAACCACTACAATATTGTAAAGTAATTAGCCTCCAACTAATAAAAATAAATGAAAAAAAAAATGATGTGTGATAGTCAACCTAAAAAAAATAAAATCGGAAAAAAAAAAAAAAGAAAGAAACCTCACTCTCATGGGTGCCTTGCAGGTAACACTTTTTGATTTATCAGTGAGTTTTTCCACATGTGTTGCATGATAATGAAGGCATAAGAGAATATCCTGAATGTGTTTCAAAACCATTAAGTATCACCAGAATCTTCAAGATAAAATTATGCTTACTAGTCTTAATCATTAAACATATATTAAAATGCTGATTCTCTCAGTGTTAGTAATCTGAGTAATCTACAATTGGTACATATGCTGTAACACTCTATTAATAAGAATATTTAATTAACCACAATAGTCCAGTGGTTGGCCGTATCTGCTATTAGAGAATTTGAGAATCCTACAGTTTTGTTTAGCCCCCTCTTCCATCATCTTCCTTCTCTCATGGGCTGTATTCATCAAAGCCTTATGGCTGTGTATTCTAACTAAAATATTCCTAGAAAATCTATTTTAAAAAGCCATTTTCTTATTCCTCAGTGGCTGCCATCACACATACACACACTCATTGGATTTTTCTTGCTGTAAATGTGTGGTCCAGCCACATTTCTTGTTATGTTGACTTAGTAAAAGGGTAGTAAATTCTGAATATCTGGCCTAACAAAAAACTCTTACTTTCTGATTCAACTTTGAGCAGTTGTCCATCCTTTTGGAAATATAATGCCTATTCTTGAAGTTAGATATTTATTTAAATGCAAAAAGAATAATGTGTTTGGGAATTACATCTGTACTTACTCATACTACTTTATATTTATATATTTTTGATAATTTTATAACAAAAGTATTTTTCACATAGTAATACAACTGGATATAAGCTAGAAAAAGAAGTGGTTTGACAAATAGTAAATTAGATTTAGATAGTAAATTGGGGACCCACAAGTGATATGTGGGGTCTAGTTTGTAAACTTCCCCCTTTTTGAAGAATGTCTTTAAAAACCTGCTCAGATGTTTGTTAAAAACCAGAATGTTTGCTTAACTATTTTAGTTTAAAATAATTAAAAAATATTTCATACAGGTGTTTAATCAGGAAGGTGAATTCATGTTGAAGTTTGGCTCAAATGGAGAAGGAAACGGGCAGTTTAATGCTCCCACGGGCGTAGCGGTGGATTCAAACGGAAACATCATCGTGGCCGACTGGGGGAACAGCAGGATCCAGGTAGATGGGTTTACTTGTTTAGAGTGATCGCTGTTTGTTGAAAGTGAAGTCCCCCAGACTGGAATGTTTTCCTTTTGTTCACTGGTTAGGTGATGAGGCTGTAAATAGTCTAACCAGAAGTTCAAACTAAGGAAGGTAGAATAGAAACAAGTCAGCCCCGGGTGCTCTGGGCAAATCAAGGAGCATTCCCACGTCTCTCTGAGAACAGCAGTGTTCAGCAGTTGCATCTGATGATAGAAGTCCTCTTCTCAGGAAGGGGGTCAAGACTTTAAATGCAGTGCAACACTGCGTACTTTAATTTCTCTGGGGTATTTATCTTGCTTAAGCATCCCAGTGGACATCTACGTTTGAAAAAGGCGTTCTGTGTCTGATGGGAAGCCAGAAGCAGGCAGGGGGCCACAGTCAGAAGGCAGTGCTGGGTAGGACCACAGCTGTTGGTACTGTGGCCCTCATCACACCTGCCTTTGGAAACACCCTGTAAGCCAAACAGAATGGCTAGAAGAAACCAGCCTGGGCCTGGGAAGGAAAAGAGTTCTTTTTATTTCATCATAGCAGAAGCTTACTGACCAAAAAACGACCACCTTCTGTCCAAATGTACATGTTGAACCACTGACTTGGTATAACTTACTCTTTTCTGAAAATGAAAAAATAATCTCCATTTTTTGGTTGCATGCTGACTCAGGACATTCTTCTGTGATCTAGTTGGCAATTTTTCCCTCTTGTGATTGGGAATGAAGGGAGGTAGTGAGGCTGGAAGGGGGAGAAGTGAAAGCTCAGAGTGAGACAGAAGGGCCCCATCCAGAGCCGCTCCGCTCACATGGGACCTCTGTGAGCCTGTAGCAAGGTCCTCTGGCCAGGGAGCGTGCCTTGTCAGTGCCCCTGGGGCACAGGGGGTGAGGGGGGAGCAGGCAGGGTGAGTGGAGGGAGGGGCTGTGGGTGAGTGGAGCCTGAACGAGCCTGGGGGTTGCACCCGTGCTTCCACGCGAAAAACGTCAGCATCAGAGGCTTCCTAACCCCGGCTTCTTCCTGCCACTCTAACTTCTCCTGTCACACTCTGACTTTATGTTTACAGGTTTTTGATGGAAGTGGGTCGTTTTTGTCCTACATTAACACGTCTGCTGATCCACTCTATGGCCCCCAGGGCCTGGCCCTAACTTCAGACGGCCACGTGGTGGTTGCAGACTCTGGAAACCACTGTTTCAAGGTCTACCGGTACTTACAGTAATAGTGGGTGACTGGACACCCCCTTACAAAGATCTTACACCATAAACTGGAATGGATTTCCTGACGCAGGACCAGATGATACTAGACTTTTCTTGCCAGAAGGAATCATCGGTGAACTTTCCAAGGTTATTTCTGAATGTAACAATTTCCTTAAAAACTGCATATCTGATTTCCATAATCCACGTTTAGAGTTAAAAAAAAAGAAATCTCTTCTACTGAATCTATAAAAACTGCAAAGTTTTACACCTGTGAACTATGGCATATAGGACAGGGATTTATGTAGTTTAACTAATTTTGCAAATCAAACAAGCATTTAAAAAAAACTAGAATATTTAAAGGCATTTGTTAATCCTGTGAGTGATAGCTTTTGTGCAGAGCTTCCAAAAACAAGATGAAAACAAAATCTGTTATAGTTATATACTTTATTTAACCTCGGTCACAAGACCCAGGGGATCTTCTAACCTCACTTTTACAGTAGATATTACTCTTGTGACATTTTTTGTTTATCAGTAACTACATATAACATTACTTTGGGTGAAAAATGAAAGCTGTCTTACAAAATCCTCCCAGCTGGGATTAGCAAGCCTCTTGAGTTTAGCACTTAAAAAATCAATGCAAATCTCCCACCCTTTCTGAGTTTGATCAAAGATCTTCTTCATGTGTTCTTTTCACCTCTATCCTGCTCACCTTGTATCTAAAAACAAAGTTCATTTTCAGGGAAACCTGAAATTCCTGATACTTTGAAAGGCATTTTACAATAGTAATGCTACCTTTTGGTAAAGCAATGGGCCCCATTAACTCCAGGTTAATGCCCTGGAGTGTAATCAAGGAAAAGTCAGTCATGTTTTCTGTGCCATGTTCTCACACGTGTCTCTCTTCCACTTCATGAACACGAAAGCTTTACCTCTTGCAAAATGTCAGCACATCTAGTAAGACACCAGTATCCTAGGACAGAGAGCCATAAGCAGCCCTTTGGAGGACGGATGGTGTCAGCCAAAGGCATGTGGTTGATCAGTGGTTCCCCTTAGAAAGCGAGTGTTACCAAAGTCGTGTTACGCGAAAGCATTACAGGTAAGGGCATGCTATGGTTATTTATCATTGTCTAATGACTAGTAGAGGCATTAAAGGACTATGTATACATGATTAGGGTAAGGTAGAATGTATCATATATATATATTTAGCTGAACCTTTGGTGTTTTGAAATAGGCAGCACTCTGAAAGACAGAAGCAGCTTCAGCACATTCCTCAACTGCACCGTTTAAAGCCGTCCTCATAGAGCAAGCCCTAAAGCAGATTTCATTTTTGCCATTTTCCAGGAATGCTGGTATGGGCTGACTTCTAGTCAGAAAATGGCCTTCTGTGCTTTCAAAAACAAAACGAAAAACAGGTCGAAAGAAACAAAGTTGAACTTGAGTTGCATTTAAGTATAAACGCATTTTGAGAAATGGTAGGAATAATTTAGTCAAATCTCATTCTGTAAAATAAGATGTGGTGTGTTTCCACTGTTTGGTTTTCTAATCAGTTCTACCAAATAGGATGTCATGTTTGGCATTTTCGATAATGACTTGGGGACCTTTTTCACTGAAAGCACCTTAAAACTGTACTATAAAAAAATTTCCCACATGTACATGTGAATATGATATTTCTTTTTTCCTAATGTTCATGGTGAGATGAGTCTTTGAATTTAAACATTGATGTTTAGTGAGCACTTCTTGGGTGCCAGAGGCTATTCAAGGCACTGGGGATAAAGTAATGGACAAACAAACAAAGCCCCCTGCCCATTTGGAGCTTACACTCTAGGGCGGGAATGTCATTTTACCATTAACTAGCCTTCTGCATAAAAGATAAGCTAGACTCGATAATTCCTGGAATGTTTAAAAGGAAAGTTTTTTAACTGGTTAAATTAATTTCAGTTTATTTTCACCAGTGAAAGTAGCTTCCTCTGTAGACTGTGTCATAGGCCATGGATCTTAAGGCTAGTTTACTTAAAGGGGTTTTTTGCACATTCAAATTATACTTGTGAATTTAGAAATCAACCAGCCATCATAACATATTAGACTGGTATCTTAATAGAAGGAACACAAAGCTGATTTTTCTACATGTCAGTATTGGAACGAAACTGGAATAAAAGAAGAGATACTTTGATTCAGACCTGTTCCACTACCTGTTACCAAAACACAAGCTGTGGGCGCTCCAGGAAACACTGGAGTTTCCTGGAAACACATATATATTTCTCCAAAATATATATAATCGTATATGTTAAAGTATAAATAACATTTCAAATTTGGATACATATGTGCATTTACTGTATTTCTTGGTAAGCATATTTTAGGGGGAAAAGTGCTGCTGATAGGATGAATAGACAAGATTTAAATGGAGTTTTGTCACATTCTAAATGGTTTCTAGTAAACTGAGAAGGATATTAAAATAAGTGATTTTTTGTTTCTGTTCTACCATTATTGTTTGATTTCTCTTTGTCAAGTGTACAGAACCTGTCATACATTCATGATAAGTAGCACTGAAAAACTACCCATTCAAATTTCCCCTGGGCACTTACGGCAAAATGTTGCCAGTTAGAATGTAATGGTCGGTGACAATGCATTCCCTCCCCAGTTACAGATATTAGTAACTGTATCTCCAATACAGACCTCCCCTGCTGGACATGGGGAGGTGGGTGGAGTCACTTGACCGCCTAGAAACACATGAATAAAAAGCCTTTATGACGCTTAGCCATTTTTTTTTAAAAAATGGTTCTTAGTATCTTGATCAAACTTTAGTCTCCAGTAACTAAAGTCCCCAGGTTACCTTCTTTTAATTTACTCTTTGACTAGATTTGAGGCAAATAAATACTAACAGGTCCATGCAACTAGAATACACTTGCTTCTACTACTAAATATACAGGGTATGTACTAAGGGAGTTAACTGGAATAGCAGTATGCTAGCAAGTGTCTATGGATCCTTAACACTAAAGGGTTCACATAAATGCTTTGGTAATACCTAAGTTAATTGGAGGAAATAGCAAATAAACATCAGGTAATCTGCAGATTACTTCAGATGGAAAAAAATCTTTATATACATTTGAACTGTATGGTATCCTCCTTATTCACCAGCTTCTGAAAAAAGGAGAAATATTTTTAGTTTAGTAATTTAAAAGTAAGACATTTCCAGGTAAGATAAAATTGAAGGTATTTGCTGCAAACATTGTTTAATTTTGCTTAAAATTGAAAGTCGTGATATTGTTGCATTCTGTAAATGTTACAGGGTTTTAAACTTACAATTATTTTAATATTTTTGATAACTAGGAATCTAGCATTGCCATAAAGGAAACTAAGTGCCCATTAAAGATTTGTTTGGTATAAATAAATAATTTTTTGTTTTGTTTTAAATGACAGTAAGCTACAAATCATGATGTTAATCTTAAACTTTCTGAAGATGAACTGTGTGGCAGTGATTGTATAGTCTGTGGAGAATGTATGGAAGCTATTAATATTCTAAGATAGATGAATAAATTGGCTATGTTGTTCCAGTGAATGTACAGCACTTCCAATAACTTTTGAAAGCAACACAGCCTTAAAATGTTTTTGCTTTATGACATGGGAATGTTCGGTCGTCAACAGAGTATATTCTTAGAATTCTTTGTATCATCTTCAGTTCTGTAGCCTTTCAGTCCTATGTATGAGTACGAGGGATTTTTGTTTCCTTTAAAAATTTTGTACATTCCATCTTTATAGGTCTGTTTCATATATTTTGTGTATAGAACACTAAATCTTGCGCTCTTTGACATTGGTACTGATATATTCTCATCACTGTTCTTTTATGAATCAAAATGCTGACTGCCTATTTAAAGAGAATAAACGCTGTGCATCAAAGTGTTTGTATGTTCGTAGCTACATACGTACCACAGTATTTTGGATGCTTTAGTCTACAATAAATCTTTAAATTAATTCTGTCTTGAAACATAGGAGAAACAAGATTCATGTGTATATCTTTACCATGCACAAAATCTCAAATCATTATAATAAAGCTTGTTTTCTCCATTTCCAGGCTGAACGTTCATTTATTTAACCTACCATTCTCTCTCTTAGTGAAGGAAAGTGAAGATACGTTCTAGAACACGTGGAAGATATCAATACCTTACTCAAACTGTTCACACTGGTGAGACAAGGCTTAGTTAATGGGAGTGTTTTCTCAAGTCCCTTTCTGATGGTTTGTTGGTGTCTAGAAAGGCAGCAGGTTTCTGTGTGTTAGGTTTGTGCCCTGCAGCTTTACTGAACTAAGTTGTTAGGGCTGGTAATTTTGTTGTGGCATCTTGAAGATTTTCTGTGTTCTGGCATCATGCCATCTGCAAACAGTGATGATTTTAATTACTTCTTTCCAGTTTGGATTCCTTTTATTCCTTTTTCTGGTCTGATTGCTGTGGCTACCCAATACTATGTTGAATAAAAGTGATCAGAGCAGTCATCCTTTTTTTTTCCGCCCTGATCTTTGAGGAAATGCTTTCAGCTTTTCACTATTGAGTATATTAAGTATAATGTTAGCTGTGGATTTACCACATATGGTCTTTGATATGTTGAGGTATAGTCCCTCTATGCCCATTTTGTTGAGAGTTTTTATTATAAATTGATGTTGATTTTTGTCAAAAGCTGTCTGCACGTGTTGAGATCATTATATAATTTATGTTCTTGATTTGTGGATGTTGAACCATCCTTGCATGCTTGGGATAAATCCCACTTGATCATGGTGTATGGTTCGTTCAATATATGGTTAAATTCAGCTTGCTAATGCTTTGTTGAGGATTTTTGCATCTGTGTTCCTCAATGATGCATACAGGCTAAGTTGGTTCAGTCATGTCTGACTCATTGCAACCCCATGGACTGTAGCCCACCAGGCTCCTCTGTCCATGGAATTCTCCAGGCAAGAATACTGGAGTGGGTAGTGGGATTGGCCTGTAATTTTCTTGTTTTGTGAAATCTTTGTCTGATTTTGGTATCAGGATGCTGC